ATTTAGGGAGAAAAAGAAAACGATGTAAAGAAGTGGTAACAGAGAGTAAGCGTAAGAAATTGGCAAGACTAAAAGACACGTTGGAAATTGTTTGTGCATTGATTGACCTCAGATAAGGCCGAAAATCAAATGCAGCATACATCTCTTAAATTTGTTTTGTATGAAATTGTGACATAGGTGCGTACTAAGTCCCACAATATGTGAAGTGACTAGAAAAAATATACCATGTTAGATAATACATTATTTGTATTAAAGATTCATTCAGTTGTGTTGATAGTGAACAGTGCTTACATTTTTCAGAAATGAGATTGCTAGCAAAAAAGAAGAGCACCAGAAAGGTTGACATTTCTGTGAAACTTATCACCAAAAGTACTTCCTTTCATTTCTTTCTTCTCGTGCACAAAAGACTATTCAATGAAAAGTCTTTTGCACACGAAAAAATTCCTTAGGGTTGGTAATATAGCAAAGCTAAGATGGTGATCCTATCATTGTTTCCGAAGTGATAGCTTGAACATTAGAATGGAAGTGTTCTTGAGGAATACTTTGTATCCAGGCTTTGTATATAACGCATCAATTATAAATGTTCTGACCACTTTGAGTCTTCGTATAGCGTCCCCTGAGAAGCTCTTTATCGGGAGCAGTGTATTCATTGAAAGCGTGCACTTCTTACGAGCTATCACTTGCTCTTTTTTCTCTAAACTTATGCTCTTTTTCTCTCTCCATAGCCCTTTATTTTTTCTTTTTTAACCCTTGTTTGTCTTTCCCGTGACCTCGTGACTTTTTATTTTTACTTTTCTCGATGACTTTCCTTGTTTCGCAGTCATAAATGGCTGATATGAGTGAAAGATATGTGCAACCATTATATCGCGTTCCTCTCTCAGCAGTGCTCACCTGTCTTGTTTCATCTCACCTATATGCAGTTGTTCACTTTTCACAATAAATGAATGTTATTTTGTAGTCACTTTTCTATTTGTGCTATTTTATGCCTTTATTCTAAACTATATAATATATTCATCATTTGATGTAATACTATTTCAACCTCATTTTCATTTCTATTGACAAACTTTCAAGAAATAAGCTAGTAGAAAAGATTTTCAGTTTTTTTTACCTTAGTTAAAATTGTAGTTAAGCTATACAGAATTGTATCTGTCGTGGACTTTGCTAATCAATTTGTGAATTGCTAGAAAAAAATAATGGTTCATTCATAGGTAGAACTTTGAATTAATTTTAAAATATACACTGAGATATACTGACTACGAGCGCTAACAGTATATGACATTATATGGTTTTTTTTTAATACTGCAAATGGATGTTAGCAAGAAATTAAAATCTACATCAAGCTAGCATTTTCACATGTCAGTCAGAAATTTTACGAAAGTGAGCTTGATTTTGTGTTAAAAGTCAGCAAAAGAACCATCTAATTGTTGGTTGTTAGAATTTAATTCCATACTAATATTGTAATCCCTTGTTTAGGTGTTGTCAGATCACGTAATGAAATTTTATCGTGTTCGGTGAATATATGATTATAGCAAGCACATGCTAGTCTGCAAGCCAAAATACTAAACATTTTTATTGTTCGTTGTAGGGAATAGAGTTGATTACCAGGTAAGTAATCTAGTTCATGAAAATGCTCCTCAAAATTTTAATTATCTCTTGTTTGTCTGTTTTATAATTGCTACAAATCTTTCAATGACTGTTGACAAACATATCGGAAGATTTAATAGCGAATATAAATGATTTGAAGCAGAAGTGGGCGCAAAGAAACATTTTCAAAAATGTTTGCTGAACCAGCGCACAGTGCATATGTCACCTTTGGTGATGATAACCTATTGTTATTGGGATTTAAAAAAAACCGTATAAAGATGGTAGGTTATTTAAAGTTATTGCTGTTTTCTTTTTATTTGCAGTGCGCGAATGTAAATGTAGCTCCCTTAATCTGAGTGTTTATTAAGCATACATATTACAATTAATTAGCTTTTCTATTTTCTAGGCATTAACTTGGTTGCTTACCATACTCACGCTGGGTGCATTTCGTTTGTTACTTCATTGGTATCCAAAATGGTTGATGAAATGTACTGCTTCGAAGTGTTGCCTAAGCTGTGCTGAATGGATCCTGATTCGGTTTTGTTTTTTATTGACCAATAACCTTGAACATTTTATGCTTGACTACCAAAAGATATTTTCTCTTATATAAGTTTGATATAGGCAGATTGCACAGAAATAATGATTCTGTTTGAAGTAGAAAGTCAATTTTTTACTATAGTTTAAATTTAATTGTTCAGAGACTTGCACATGAATATTACTTTCCGTCCCGTACGTTGCATAAATAATGCTAACAACATGGCAATCGGTTTTCCTAAAACTGGTTTTCGAATGGTTAACGTCAAAACGCTGAGATATTTCACATTCAAAAAACTCATCCATCTTTGGCATCCTCAAGAAAATCAGTTCATCCCAATTGATTCAGTAGATACAGATGTGAGTTCCGAATTTGCTAATTAAATTTGTGAAAAATTTGCTGAAAAGCTGATTATGCACTATTAAAAGCCGCACTTTCATTTCGTCTTTAACAAATTTAAAAAATTGGCAGATGAATGTTAAGTTTAGTTTGGGTAAATTTTTAAAATATTTGTTTTGTTTTACATTACTGCATATTCTCTCATTTTACTCTTTATACCTTTTTTTGCAATAGCAATATCTTTCACTACAGATAAATTCTTAAATAATTTTATATAAATGAATAAATAAGCCTATATATAATAAATCCTTTGGTTCCATTTTGAGCACCCTTGTAAAATAGTTTTTAAAACCTATGGCATGCTCATTTACTGCAGTTTTGATTAATCGCTCAATTCTCAACAAAAACCTCTGCTCGCATTTTATCATAACTTCCTCGGGTCGAAGAGCTAGTCCTGTCCTCCATTATTCCAAGTTATTATATCCTTGAGCTCCACATCATACTCCAAAAATTTCTGATTTCCTGTGTTCCTACATTGTGGCTAATAGGCTGTTCCTTGGTTAGTTTCCTATAAAACATGAACAGCCCAAGTTTGGCGTTTTGTATTTTTAATGCACAACGGAACTCATAACTTTTTATTTTAACCGTCATAACTCTCACACGCTCTGTCAGCATGCTTAGGGCCTCATGACCTGTCACACCGGAGAACAAATATGAGATTCATGCTCCTTATGCACTTCTTGATCTCCCTTAGGTTTTTACCTTCAAGTGTTTCACTTACCAAAATACCGTTCTGTGGGGGTTTTGTGGAAGTTATTCAAACTTATCTTTCTTTCTATGCTCGCTTTCCACCTCTATGCCTTCTTCTCCCACCTTGTCATATCTTCATAGCATCCTTGTGTCACCTGGAGCTGTCTCGTAAGATTAGTCATTGACTTGGGGGGATTCCAGGTGGCATATTGACCGGATGCTTGATTTATCACTCCTAAGTATAAGCGAGTCAATATTCTCCGAGATTATTTTTCACATCCACTTTGTCTGGTCTATCTCACGTCTTTGGGCTTCTTACAAGGTACCTGCTTTACGTCTAGATAAACCCTTAAACTCATATAGCTTGTTTTGTTCGAAGTACGTGTCTTGTGTTTTGACACGCTTCGTTGGCGCTTTTAAGAATCGTTTTTGTGAGCATAGACGGCCTGCAATACTCACAACCGTGGAGTTCGCTTGTTTCTTCAGTTCTTCGAGGGTAATTGCACACAAGAACTTTTCGCTGTACAGTGAAGAACACAAAGGCCATCCCCCTCTCAACATCCCCCGTAATGGTCAGAAACCGCCTTCAGCACTTCCCCTGCCTATCTGCTCTGTGCAACCTCGATTGCTCGAAGCGTAATCGTCCTACTGGTTCCGGGTTTGATGCACTGGCAAAGTGTTCTCCTACATCCTTCACGGAGCTTTTCACAATTTCATCTGTTTTCTCATTGTTTTCTACTATGATTCCAGGTGCGGTTTTTCTCTTTTCATGCTCCATTTTTACCTCAGACTTTTGATATCCCGACTTGTAAAGACAACACAGCATTCTTCTTTTAGCTCTCGCATTCTTTTTGCAACAGTCTTTTCTTTGTCTCTATTCTTCCCAACTTGTTTCGTCTTCGTTCGTTCAAAGTACTGCAACAAGAGGTTGCATGAGCACTATCGTTATGGTCTCTTCTTTTCGCTCCTTGTAAGTCGCCTGTGATGTGGAAGGTTTTTCAGTAACGCGTTCCCATCCATTATATAACTGATCTACTTGAATGCACTCGCATTACTACCCTTTCCACCATTCTGGCGTCATTGACTGTCGATACCGTTACATTTGCTCGTACTGGTATAACCGCCATATTCTTCCATAGTCGCATCATGTCATCACCATTACAGAGAAAAGTGGAGCAAAGATAGGTGTAGAAACGAGAAATAAAGAAATAATGTTTTTTTGTCTATATCAGTCTATAGTCCACAATTAGCTCAAGCTTGAGTAATATAACCTATATGCATTATATGTTGCTTGTTTATCTTCGGTTTTTTTTCATTTTTTTTAAAATTTAAATTTATTTTTGTTTATTGACACTTTCGACCAACATTAGCGATTACTATATTCCAGGTCAGGTTTCATCAGTTCCATATGCTAGCAGAAAAGGGTCTGAGTGAGATTGATGTTGTCAAACGTTTAGCGGTTTATGGAAAGAATCTAATACACATACATCTGAAGCCTTTACATGTCTTACTTTTTCGTGAAGCTATTTCTCCTTTTTATATATTCCAGCTATTCAGGTATTCAGTCTTCTGTTCAGTTTCGTGTAACTCTTTAATTATAAGCTTTCAGTGTTGAAAAATCTTTTGTGCGTGTTTATAGCGTTTCGGTTTGGTATTCCGATAATTATGAAATATATGCGAGCGTTATTGTTGCATTATCGCTGCTTTCTATTTTCACTGATGTCTATCAAGTCAGAAAACAAGAAAGAAAGCTCCGAAGTATGGTTCATTCTTCGTCAGTCATAGAAGTTCTCAGAAATAGTGGTCAGTCCACAAATATTAGCAGCGAGGAAGTGAGTTTAGTTTTTTCTGCTCATGGTTTTCACAGTTGCTTCTCATAAATAAAGTTTGACATATGATTTGATTTAAAAATTTTTCAAAATTTTTTTCATTTGATGAATGAAACAGTATTTCTCTGGTTGAAGTTAGTTCCTGGCGATGTTATAATAATTCCTTCTAATGGATGTGAGATGCAGTGTGATGCAGTATTAATCAATGGCACAGTAATAGTAAATGAATCAGTGTTAACCGGTGAATCAGTTCCAGTCACCAAGGTACAAAATTATTTTATACCAATACCTTCTTTTTTCTGGTCAAATATCCGTTTACTTCACGTTGACATTTTTTGTTGCAGTCTGGATTACCGATGACTGATGATGACTCTTCTGTTTTTTCTTTCAAAGAACATGCAAGACACACGCTATTTTGTGGCACAAAAGTGCTTCAGGCTCGTTATTATGCTGGTAAAAGTGTAAAGGTGACAATATTTATGTGCAGTCATCGTAGTTTTCCGTCTTTCAATTATTTTGTAGTATTTCTTGCTAAAAAAAGATATGTTTTCGATATATCTTAGCCATTTCAGGCAGTAGTTCTGCGGACTGGTTTCACAACACTGAAAGGTCAACTTGTACGCTCGGTAATGTACCCAAAACCAGTAGACCTACGCTTTACGAAAGATCTTTTCAAATTTATTGGTTTTCTGATATGTATTGCTTTTCTTGGCTTTGCTTATACCATTATAATAATGATCGTTCGAGGTGCCGGTCCAAGGAAAGTTATACTGCGTGCTTTGGATATTATTACTGTCGTTGTGCCCCCTGCTTTACCTGGTTATTATTATTTTTACATCACATCTGGTTATTAATGTTTTTACATCATATATTAATAATTTTTACCACTATGCAGTGACTAATTGCATCAGAATTCCTGGTTCATTTCAAGAATTCAACATTTATGATTTTGCTTGTGAATTTTCAGCTGCCATGAGTATTGGTGTGCTTACATCTCAAGTGCGTCTTCATCGTAAAGATATCTATTGCATAGCCCCTTCGGCAATCAATACCTGTGGTGCAATAAATGTGGTAAATTTTTGGTTATCTTCTCAGTTTTTAGTTTTTAGCAGTAAAAGAATATTTTTTTGCTCAAGTATTTGTCGAGATTCAGGTTTGCTTCGATAAAACAGGAACTTTGACAGAAGATGGATTAAATTTTCACTCAGTTTGTCCTATAGTTCATGTTGATGGTAGAGAACCGGTGTTTGGGCCTGAGTTTTCCTCAATAAATGTCAAAGAAATGTGGATATATCGCAAACTTGTTGAGGCGTTATCTACTTGTCATAGCTTGACACGGTTAGTTTTGTTGACAAATTACCAACGTAATCACCGGAGGAAATCATACTATATATTTGTGTATGTTAGTATGTAGTACTGACGAAATCTTTGACATCTACATTACTTATTTAAATTATAGTGAACAGATCTGATTGGTTATCCAGCTTGCAGAATTAAAGGTTCTCTTTGTGGTGATCCATTGGATTTAATTCTTTTCAAAAGTACGGGTTGGACATTAGATGAAACTATGAATTCAAGAATTGAAGAAACTGCTCGATTTGATGTTTTGGCTCCACCAGTTGTGCGTAGCGTCCCTGGTACGTGTGGTTGTGATCGGAGAATAGAACTCGCTATTTTGAGGCAATTTACTTTTAGGTTAGTACTCTTTGCTTTTGAACAGTTTAATGGTGAGAAAAGTTGGAACCTTTTTATGGCTCAGTGATTTATTTCCTTTGCATATGTGCAATAAATACATCTGTTGCAATTAAAATGAACGTTATGTATTTGAATTTTTTTTTATTACGAGTTTTCAGTTCTTCATTACAACGGATGTCTGTTATTGTACATGATCCAGAGGATGATTCGCATGACATGACTTTGTACTGTAAAGGTGCACCCGAAAAAATTGCTTCTCTTTGTCTACCATCAACAGTACCTGTCAATTACATCGTCAGTTTTCTGTTTGGTCTTTTCCCATAATTCCTGAAAAATTATTTTCATTTCAGGTTTTTAAACATCGTGAATGAATCCAGTAAAAGCGTCTGATCGATTTTTGTCCAGCATTGCTATTAACTTTCGAAAATAATATTTGTGTGGAGGAAATAGAAATTAGGGGGTTTGCTAGATTGAAAGTGACTTATCTCTATTTATTAAATCTGTTCATTAAATACTTTAAAGTAAGTGTAGTTTTTTAAGTCTGTCATGCATCTTTTCATTTTTTCTTCAGAACGTTGTTAATGACTATGCACAACATGGATATCGATTGATAGCAGTTGCTTTTAAAAAACTACACATTAGTTTTCCAAAATCGCAGCGAGTAAATAGAGAGCAGGTTGGTTTCAGTTGACTAGTGGAATGAAGAAGAGTTTAATGTATGTTACTGTAATAAATATTCCAGGTTGAAACTGGTCTAACATTGTTGGGTTTGGTAGCGATGGAGAACAGACTAAAGGTGCAGACGGTCAGTGTAATTCACCAACTGAACAAGTTTGTTTTCATTCCTTCTAGAATTTCATTTATTTATGTAACAGCGTAAATTATATCGTGGATTAAATTGCAGAGCTAAAATTCGAACGGTCATGGTTACTGGTGATAATTTGCTAACTGCATTAAGTGTTGCTCGAGAAAGTGGAATTATTCAGCCTTCAAAGAGGGCTTATGTTGTGGAGTGTGGTAGTCGGACTCTGTCTGATTCAAGAACTCCTCTAATATTGAAGCAGGTTTGCCATTTGTATTCATGTTTACTTGTTACTAGAAAGCAAGTAGTTATGTTCAACAGGTTTATTTTTAGTATTATTGAAGTTATGGACGATTATTTTCCCTTAATTTCAGGCAGTTTCTTCATCGGAAGATTTGTTGGATGATTCATCATCACTTTGCGATGCAGAATCAGCGAGTTGTATAGACCCTACTTATCAGCTATCGATTTCTGGTCATTATAATTTTCAAATTGAACTTTTGAGCTTTCATGGCAGTTTGCTTTTTATTATCATAGGACGATTCATAGTTTTTATAACATCCTTTCCTTACAAATGAAAGTCCTGATTTTTAGGCCCAACATTTGATGTGATTTGTCGTGAATATCCTGAGTTGTTACTTAAGTTCGTTACTGTATGTGATGTTTTTGCACGCATGTCTCCAGATCAAAAGCAGATTGTGGTGAATAAACTTCAGGAAGTTGATTACACTGTTGCTATGTGTGGAGATGGTGCAAATGATTGCTCAGCTTTGAAAGTAGTGATTTGTTCTTTATTGGTAAAATGTGTGTCGAGGTTTTCGGTTGATGTTTGTAGATTATATTCCCTATATTACTGTTTCATTTGAACACTAAGCTTGATCGTAAGTATTCATTTCATATTTGGAACTTGATATTTGAAATTCAGTTGCACTTGAATCAAAGCATCAATATAGTACGTTGTTGAGAACAAAAAATTAGTTCTTTTTGTGAAAGTTACAGGCAGCGCACGCAGGTATATCACTCTCTGAAGCAGAAGCATCGATTGCAGCTCCGTTCACATCTCGCGTACCTGACATTCGTTGTGTTCCACTGATTATTCGTGAGGGTATATTAGTTATAAAATTTGTCTATTTATTTTTACCTGATACTTAAAATGTTTTATATTATTAAATGTCATTTGTATTCATCATCTTCCAGGTCGAGCAGCTCTAACAACTTCATTTGGAGTCTGTAAATACATGGCCAGTTACTCTTTTACTCAGTTTACTTCCGTTCTCTTACTTTATTGGCTTGCTGCGAATCTCACGGATTATCAGGTTACTTTTCTGTCAGTAATGTGGTGGTATTAAATTGAATTTGAGTCTTTCTCTTCATTACAACATTCTATTCAAATTTCATAATTATCAAAAGTCATTGATTGCAGTTTTTATTTATCGATCTCTTCCTAGTAACAGCGGTAGCTGCATGTTTTGGATATACTCCAGCATCTGAAAAACTTGCATCCTTACCACCTTCCACGAAAATACTTTCTTTCGCATCTGTAGTTTCAATTGTTGGTCATCTGATGCTTGTTTTCATTTTTCAGGTTTGTTAAATTTTTTATTTCTCTAGAAATTAATGAAACCGTTACTACAATAACATTATATTGAACAGAAAGCAAATTTTGCTTCGGTATTTTATATTTTTCTAATGCATTCTTACATGTTATATGCGTTTAATGTGATATTTAAAAAAAATTTTTTTTTAAGCTTGAGAATGTATAGAACATCGTTTCATTAAATTTGATAATCGGTAGATTTTTTTTTCAGTTGTTTATATTCCTATACACTGCAACTCAACCATGGTTTCTTCCTCATTCTAGTGCAGTAGGCGTTTCTGTTGAGGATAAAAAGAGTATGGAAGTAAGTAATTATTTTTCTATGAATTTATAATGTTTGTTTACTAATGTTTATTTGGTTTAATTCAAGTATTGAGTTTTCAATTCGTTTATGCTATGTAAAGTCAAAACGTTAATTTTCATTTAAATTTGATACGATTGCAGGGAACGGCAGTATTTTGTTTATCTTCGTTTCAGTATTTAACCCTAGCGATCATTTATAGCAGAGGGCCTCCATATCGTAAAACGATGTTCAGTAATACTCCTTTCTGCTTCTGCCTTGGTTAGAACAGTTAATCTTGTATAGTTTGCATAATGTATTATAAAAGTACGGTACAGATAATAGAATTTGATATGAATTTTGGTAAACCTTTCAGCTACTCTTTTTTTCCTCTCTATATGGCTCACAGTTGACCCGCCGGCCTTTGTGATAACATATTTCCAATATGATCCGCTTCCTGAACTTGGTTATCGGATTTTTATATTTCTTACTGCTCTCATTTACATCTCATGCGCTTATATATACGAAACAGGAGTGGTTGAGTATCTCATCCTTAACGTTCGTGCAAAGTATGCAGTGAAATTGTTGTCAATAGTTCATTTATTTATTTTAAATTAAGTAGTTTTTCAAAAATAGAAAAATTCTACAGCCAAATAATTTTTTGTAAAGGATGTAGAAAAATATTCGTTTATAAATTGAAGTAGTAGAATTTTTTCTTTATTTGTTTATCAAAAATAGACTGCATTTACTTCACGTTATCATACATTGTTTTTCTCTTAGGTGGCGTAGAAAGCATTGTGTCGAAACGGACACACAACTACTAAACAAAAATGAAAGAATTTTGTGTTCAATCAGTAATAGTCCTAGGTGGATTCCTTGCACACAAGAACAAGATTCAGCCGATGGTTCTGAATTGTATTTTTTGAATATATCGCCTTCTTCGTAGTGTGCTGTTTTTATTGTACGTGCGGAAGTCAAATTCAGATTAATAAGAATTAACAGCGGATTCCACTCGAGAGTCATTTTCATGCCAAGATTTTTTTAGTATTCTAATATGAAAGGTTTATTATGTAATCTTTGTGTGAACATTCTTTGGTTCTGGTATTGTTTTTGATTTCCTTTGTTTATATTAACTGCATTTTTGGAAGAATCAATTACGTTTTTCGTTCTAAATTCGTAGATGCTTGATAAAAAACTTTCAGAGTTTTGATTTCTTTTTAATTTCAAAGTTTTTGACTTTGTTATTTTGTAGAATTTGTTATGTGTTCTTTGAGACATTGATATTTGAATTTAAAGGTCATACTTTCTCTATATATTTTCTTTTTACAAGCCATTAATAATACATTTTATGTGCAGTTTCATTTATCAAATATTTATCCATCCTGCAAACCTTAACGTCGCATCTTTCGGTACGCTTTAATCTACCATTAATACTTTTACTTTTTTCAAATTAATAATAGGTCTCATGCATACTACGTAGGAAATAAGTTATCAAGCGCCATTGTTACAAATTTCGCTCTAGTCTTTCAAGTTCATGAGTAGACCAAGTAGAGGAGAGAATATGTTCAGTAATACTTGACTATTGTTTTGTCATTTGAACAAAGTTTTTAACGTTGTTATTTTGTAAAATTTGTCATGTTATATATGTTGTTTGCGAACAGCTATTAATTTGTTAACATTCCATGATGAATATTTTTCAAATACTAAAACGTTTCCATGAAGTTGACTATATATTGAAGCTTAATAAGAAAATGAATTCAATTGTTACTTACAAGGAAATGAAGCATTCAGATATTTTTGCTCTTGATCAGATATCATATAGGGGCTTGATTGAGGCTGTATCGATGTTTCTTCTTTGTGAATGTTTCAAACCTGAGACACTTGGGTTTCATTGTGAAAACATATGCTATACTATTGAACTCCGGATTTTCAGAGTATCCGACGTTGCTTTAATCCGTTTTTTCCGCAGGCACAACCAGTAGTAATTTTTGTATTGATTTTGTAAGGTTATCTGTAATACGGATATCGTGTTTCGTTTGAAAAAATAAGACAGGGAAGCGGTGCTTGATGGATAGAGATGGGGCAGTAATAGGAGATCATTATAAATTGAACATATACCCATGCAACTGTTGATGCAATCGGCTTTTTGAGCGCAGTAAATGCAAAGAAAATATGCAGGTAAACCAGTGAGCATGATAATGATTCCGATTGCTGGAAAGTATATTTAACTGGACTCTTTTTTGACCGTTTAGGGCTGTTACTGTGCAGCCAGTGCAAAGATAGTCTTTCATTCCTTTGAGACAGTTTTGGATATCTATTTTTAAATCAGGAAGTCTTTGCTAGATCCTTATCTAAACTTTTACATACAAACACATTTGCTTAATAATTACTTGTCAGATACCTGTATCTAGAGGTTCTTGATAAATGGGAAATACTACCAAAAGTATACATCCCAACAAAAACAGCATTGGCCAAAGTAGATTAACTTGCAATGATCTCGGATGAGTCGTTGGTGGTTGTTTCCATCTGTAAAATGAGTACAGAAGCTGAGCAAAATTCCGAGATCAATCAATGTCATTATAGCTTCAGTAATATGCATAATACTATTACTGAAAGAACTGTAACGGACTGTAAGTAAGGATAAGGAATCTTTCAGATATAAGTAGTTTTGTGAAAGATCAAGGTCACATTTATAGGAAGGATTGTACATACCTCAGATAGAGCAAACCTGCAATTGCGATGCCAATTGCCATGAAATTTACAACTTGCACATAGCTAATTAGAGTGTATATATTATCGGATAATAATAAGTAACAGCATGATAATGAAGCCTACAAATTTGACTATGAATTGTTAGTATGTATATCAGTTTCTTATAACAAAGGAACACTTCAATTACAAATACCTGAATTTATTTAAATAATCTGAACAGATAAGTGAAATTACACTTAATATTTCAAAATATAAAATTGGATTTGCACAGCAAGCAATAGTGAAAGAAAGTAGATATGGGTAACTTCTTGTAACAACGCTGGTAATAAAAGACGGAACTAATAATTTTCCTAGTTCATGATTCTGCAAAAATTACTACAAATCAAGTAATATTTATAAAAACTTTACAGTGAAAAGCACAGCTGGTATTGGTGTATTAAGATGTGGATTTATAAAGCTCAGTACACGTGGCATATGTCCATTGCGTCCAGCAACATAAAACAATCTGAAATATCTATAAGGTTGATTAGGAATGTTACTTTTCACTTAACACCTTAAATAACTAGTGAAAATACTACAAAAAATTTGATAGAATCTTTGATAGAGGTTTAATAAAATTTAACCTCGATGAAGTAAGCATAACACCATTTACGGTACCGAAACAGGAAAGTGCTACCAAAATTGGCATTATGCATGCGAAGATGCCATAATAACGATCAGCAAAATCCACGGCAATTGCATTTGAGTTAAGCATTTCTTCTGCTGATGTTCCTGAAACTAACAAACTTACATTTTGTAATTTTACCTTAGCCATTTGCTTCAGAAATTTCTTTTAAGAGTATAACGGGAATTTAGCTAGTAAAGACAAGTTCAAGTTCATTAATATTACATGATTACTTAAACATCTAAAGTTGGTTGTCCGTCATCCCAAAGCAGTCAAAATTAATATTATAAACCTGCGTAAAATGCAATATTGGCCAAAGCATAGACAACCGTTACCACACAACAACTTATTGCAATTGCCAATGGTAAGTTTCTGAAAAATATTGACGCTGTTGCTAACAAGTTATAACCAATGTTCATGAGAAACTTGAAATGACTTAGTTTTTTTGCAAAATACAACCATTTAACTCGTTCAAACGCACTAACTTTGTAGGATTTATAAGTTCTTCAGTAATTAAATTTAAATAATTCCATCCATTGTAAGCCCAAAGACCTGAGTAAAATGCGAGAGCAATTTCACCTGGCTCCCATTCCGTGCCTTCCCAAAAATTCTCGTATGAATCTCGGTAGCCTAAAGGGACAAGAACAAGTTTTTACTCTGAAATTTTTTCGATAATCCAAAGTGGTGAAAACAAGATACTCACTAATCACTTGTTATTACTTAAAGCAGTTTAATGCTGAATAGTCAGAAGACTAAATGCAACAATAACATCATTTTCATTTTTGGCGCTCCTTTGGCTAATAGTTCTAATAACATATCTATTTTTAAAACTTATTGTTTTCAAAAATAGCATTACGGTATAGTTTGTTTCCATTTTATAGAACGAAATCCAAAAAACATGGTTTTCCTAATAAAATTATAATGTTTTGAAAATAGCAATCATAAACACAACTTTGCGAGAACAAAATGGCAAGAAATGATGGGAAAATCTTACCATTTCCATATATCAGAAGTATTACACCGGTACCAATAATTAATGATAATGCTGCCAGTTTTGCGACGGTAAGGAAATTTTGTACAAAGGTAACAAATTTCATACTTACGCAGTTGATTAGAGCTAACATTACTGCAAAGTAAACAATAGTCATGTACTATTAGCTACTAACTGATGCCAGTCTATTTACTAACAGTTATAAAAATCTTTTTGGAGAAAATTGTCTAATTATGCAATTGCATTCGAATACACAGTTAAATAATGGAATGAATTTATTTATTTTTGCATACAGTAAAAGATTCATTTGGTCTTATTTATGGCATATTTGTTTGTTTTATTCTGATTCAGATTTCTGAAACCATTACTGTTGCTTCATTTGCAACAGTAAAAATAAAAATCAGTTATCTAACAGTTAAAAAATCTTACCAATACAACCAACAGCAAGTAACTGTGGTAGCAAATATGGAGCACCACAGTGATGAAAAACAGGTTGTAATATGTAAGTAGCAAAAGTAATTGCTACAGCGGTAATCGTACAAGGCCTCAAATTAATCGTGGAGAATGATACATTTGTTCAAGCAAACAACATCCGAAACTATCTATTTATATATATATATATACCGTAATACGTCAACCGTAATACGAAAAGGTCAAAAGTGGAGCGAGATTACCTTTGCATAGCATATAATTGCTAACTGTTGCTACCAGTTTTTTCTTTTCTAGATATCAAAAAGATAACATATGATTTCGGAGAAACAACTTTAACTAACCTCACGATGATGCATTCAATCCATAATCGTAAAAAGCCAATTAGTGGCCCAAAAGCAGCAAGTACATATGCATAATCCCCGCCCGAACTTCGGATAAATGTACCCAATTCAGCATAACAGTAAGCACCTACCGCAGAAAACGCGCCGCAAACAATCCAGATGAGTAGCGATAAACCTACTGAGCCGGCATCTGAACAGTGTTCATGTCGTATTTACTTATGCTTCCATACTGGTACTAAAAAAATTGCACAAAATTGCACAAAAAAAGAATGGAAAAAGTTTGATAATGATGAGAAAGTAACGTACGTTCATGTACTCCTTTAGGAGAAATGAATATACCTGAACCAATAATGCAACCAACAATAATCATAACCCCTCCGAAAAGGTCAATAGTTGGTTTAAGTGCTGCCTGAAAATGTGGCTCCAAAATCGGAGGATTCTGCCATTTTAATTGGAAAACTACTTTAAAATAAAGCAGAACAAAAATTTTCAAAAACGATTTTGGAAAATTGGATTATTTCGTTCACATTTTATTGTTTCGGCAGCAAATTGAAATGCCAAATATTGAATATGGTGAAATTAATTTGACCTCATTTTCTTTGCTATTCGTATCACAGGTTTTGCAAGTCGATGCCTGTTCTTCATTATTTTTCACAACATCTGTCATGATTAACAAAAATGTTTGAGTTTTTCAGTGGTCAGCATTAACAGGTTTACTGCTGCTACTCTTCCTGCTTTAGCAGAAGTACCTAGAAAGTCATTAACAGCTAGTACCTTAGCAAATGCATCATTATTATCTTATTTCTTGGTTCTCAACGATGGTTTTATTTGCTCGGAATCGTATGACTTTTGAGTCCTTTATTCATTATTTATTTTTCCAATTCACGTGATTTGTATTATATGAAAAATAAATTGCATCAAATTCATTTACTTCTACAGTAGTTATGAAATTAACGATTATTTCCACCAACTACTTAAAAACAACAAATTTTGTCGAAAATTAAAAATAATTTCCGAAATGCTAAAAAGATAATGAATACATTTTCTGAGTTAAGCAGACCATCAACAATCAAATCTAGAAAGAACAGATATATTCAAAATCATTTTCACATTATCTAAAAGTTTTTATAAAATACGAATTCATTTCCAAAATATGCCTTACTTTACAACAGCGCAAATCAAATTTTGCAAAATTTTTCTTGAAAATAGTTAAAGCAAAATTCAGCACAGCTGAAAGAACGGAAAGTGAAGCCCAAGATTAGATGGAAGTATTACTTAAGATATCTCACTAAAAAGTAAAACATTGAAGCTACATTGCTAACATTTTTCATACAAAGCAATTTGATCTTGAAAAAACATTAAAATCAGATTGGAAAATTATCAAAACCATCTTTCTACTCCAAAATTTTTGAAAATAATTGTCACGAAAAGAATATTGATATGGATTGAATCTGTATTTCATTTTTCAGTTCTTTTACTGATTTATCAATGCCTTGTAAGTAAATAGAATTGTTTTATTCATAAAGGCGTCAAATCAACTTTTGTATTTTCCATGTCTGAACAAGTATCGCTTCGTATCAAATCCCTAACATTCCAATTTTTCATAAATTTTTATAATTTTCTATTTACTTATGTTATGACTTAACAAATTAATTCAATGCAGTAGAAAAAACCAGTAGTAAAGTAAGATTTAAACATAATTCAATGCACCGAAAACCATTTATTCTTTCGATAAAGAGCCTAGAAAATTAAATGAATTGTTTTCTTTCCACTCATTCGTCAACACATACATTATATTTGAACATAAATATCACCGTTTAACTCGCTGAAGAAAGCAGTGAGCACAATTCAAAAATAACGACTCTTATATTCAACCAAAAGGGAAAGTAAATATTAGAAGAAACCAACGATAATTTGAAGTGAATTGCAGTTTTTATGCAAATTGATTTAAAATTTTGATTTTTCACCTTTTTTATGAGCATCCATGAAATTTGAACATGGTCTTAGCCAACATAGTTATAACAAAGAGAACAAACAATGAAATTTAAGAAATTAGTTGCGTTTGCGGTTGTTGCACGGGCAAAGTTTGCACGGATGAAAAAGGTAGTGTTGCACAAACGGAATTGAAAAGATATTCTTGCTGCTGATTATTCATAAAAGACATATGACAACTTCAACCAATATTTGTCGATATTAATTGCTTTACAGAAAATAGATATATAAGAAACAATCATTTGATGTTGACTAGAATCATTCTTCAAAGACGAATAAAGCTACTGAAAACGTCAATCGCCAGCACTTTAGTTGACGAACTTTCACTTTCAACTTGGGGGCGTAAAAAAGAAAGAAGGATGATGGGATCAAATTAATAATTTTCTTGACTGCATCCCAATGAATACGATAAAAATAATTATTTACATCATATCAAAATATGAAGATCACTTTTGAAAGTCTTGGATAGTCTTGTGCAATAAACAATAAAATTCGTTGATCATCAAGATGTTCTCGTCAATTAACATTTCATATGAGATTACGTAAACACGCAGTTTTGACTTTATTAATTTGTCATCAAACTTGGCCAAATGTAAACAAAAACATGAAATCAATCAAAAATAAAAAAACCTTAGTGATAGATCATTTTTCAAATAGCAATTTTCATTTGGAGAAAACGAGTAAAAGAGTGACGAGTAAGTTGATACCATAAATTATTATCAAAAAAGCTAGATAACAGAAAAATAAAGTGCAGTATAAATTAGATGAGCGATGTACACAATGTCGCAATTCACAAAAGTTACACAGTATTAATATCTAAGTGGATTTCATTGCTGTGCAGGTAGCCTGGCGGTTGCTTAAGGATAGTTGGTGTTGATTATGGTGATGCATTTGTTATTAAAATTTCAATGAATTTGGACTGTTTACTAATGATAGCTTAAAACTTCTGACTCGAAATATTGAAAAAGTGCAAGCGAAATGCATGTACATAATGGTAATAATCTGCGGTATTCATGTGTGATACTATACAGAAAAGTGGTAATCATAAAGGCGATAATAAAGATTAAATTATCACTTATAATGTTCATTGATGTTTACTACTGAAATTAGTTTGCTTCTTCGTCGTTGCTTTTGTTGATTTTTGCTCACATTTAAGAAAAATGGTACACAATGAAGTTGGCGAGGGTTTGATTTATAATGAATGTCAACAGAAATTACAATAAAAATGATCAATTCATACCTACTGTCGTAGTAAACATTTTTCAAATTGTAGCTGATGAAAGAAATGCATTTTAACACTCAACTTTATGATTAAATTTTAGAGCAGGACTAGATTATACTTCAGAAATCAGTAATTCTAAAATTGCAACTCTCATGCTTTCTAATTATTACAAGACCTAACAAAAAAATGGAACCATGAGCACTTTTCTATTCACTACTCGCATTTTTTGAGATTTATCTATTGAAGTTAGTGGAATTTGTTATAACTAAATTGCTTCCTAAACACTCAAAAAACATTCTCCACATGTTATTCGTTCTTCTACTCGTTTTCATGCTTTCCATCGTTCAAATTCTCTCCCTATAACCGTCTTCAGCAAATTCAATTTATTAATAAGTGCTTTGAATTCAAATTTCCCTCATTAAAGCTATTTTTGACTCCACGAATCTCTTCCAAGAAATGTTACTTTGAGGCTGTTGTGAAAAAGGACTAAATCGTTGTTTTGAATCCAAAAACAAAAAATTACGGGATTCTGTATTTACTAATGTATTTCAATTTTGAATACTTACTCATGACCGTAATTCCTAATGCAAACTGTGATCGTATTCATGATAAAACTTAATTTATGCACTGTAAAACAGCATTTAGTTGATTATTAAAATTTATGTTGCAGTTTGTTTTAGCTTCTTCAGTTCCTATATTTCTACAACTAGCTTCAATAATATTTATTTCTCATACTCCGTGCTATCCACACTCATTAATCACCAAGTAATGAAAGCTAATATTTAAAAATGCCGAAAAATTGCCAGAAGACCGGTCACTGAAAATTTTGATGCGGATAATTGAAAGTTAATCCTTTCAAATGAATGATAATTCTAATTCTAATAACAGTTCTAATAATTCTAATTCTAATAATGATAACTAGTAATTATACCATGTCCGCAGTTTGGAGGTAAGTCTTCTCCCTTGCGTTCTTGATTTTCGGGTTGGATCATGTTCCGGCTCATATTTGTTCTCCGGTGTGACAGGTCATGAGGCCCTAAGCATGCTGACAGAGCGTGTGAGAGTTATGACGGTTAAAATAAAAAGTTATGAGTTCCGTTGTGCATTAAAAATACAACGAAATTAGTGTTGTTTTTCCAATTCTTCATGCAAAAAAAAACAACCCTAGTTCCATAAAATTCGCTAGTCCTACAATATCTTAGAATCCATGACCAAGGAACTGTACCACTCAAGCATGGCCCTATCTATGTATGTCATAACATTCCTATCGCAGCTTACTGCTTGTTATCGCAACTTTACAATTTGGAAATAAGAAACATGCATGAAGTCAACATTTTTCTTGCTATATCATTTTATGTGTCTATTATCTTGAAGCTTCCAATCCTTACCGTCCCATAATTAGGTACCTGAAAATTCATTCCAGTTCCGCTTATCAACTTTTAATTTCAATTACTTCTAGCACTCAAGTACCAATATTTTATTGCTTATTTCTGAACTTACATCAGTACTTGGCAGGTTATTTTTCGGCTGCAAGTACTAACAAAAGTATACGAACTGCTTCCTTAACTGATTGATTCTGTTCACTTTTGATTAATTTAAAAACAGATATTTGGAAGTGATGATGAAAAAAGCAAGGATGTGTAAAAAGATTTGATGAATCATGTGTCTCATTAGATGGACGATAAAGTATTCAATTGTTGGACAAGTCAAAAATTCAAAAGATTGCTTTCTTTCGTTTAATTACAACTGATTTTTTTTTCATCAGGAGTTCGGAAGAAATAACCTAAACCTGATTAAAGATTCTTTCATTTCATCCAAAGGTCTCGAATTATCCTAACACCAATATTAAAATAAGTGATTGACTTATTAACAGTTTGCAATGTTTGCGTTAATTCTGCGTACGTTTAATATTAAGGCAGCTTTCAGACTGACTCACCTGTCTCTTGTAGAAACAGTTAATGAATTCAGCAACTAATAACGTGTAAATAATTTTTAGAAAAAAAAGAAGTTATCATTGCAAGATGGTGTATGAGGAATGTAATGTAGCTGTGAGGTATAGCTTAAGCCAACTACATCACTGAATTAATGTAAAACGCAACAAACACCAATTTCTTCAAAATACAGACATCATACCTTCCAGTTCAAAACCGCAACTCACAGACTACTTGCTTTTGAATTCTTACATACTAGACACCTTCAGACTTCCTCGCACATTTTATACTTTTGTTTTCAACATAACTTAATAATTGAAAATGTCTTCACTGTATTCAGTTTATTATAGATTCCAAAAAACAGTAAATTATCATTGCGTATTGTGTCCAGTTACGTTTAAAGCAAACTGATGATGTCAATTAGTACTCTTATTCAACAATCAGTTCTCATTTTGATTCTATATTTCTATGAAAATTAGCTTTAACATTGTTAAATCATATACGATATCACCAATTTTTCAGAGCACAAAAAAAGTACAACGGACCACGTACACATGGTAGAATATTATAATTATCAGTTAAGACAGTTAAAACAGATAAAATTTCTAGCACTAAAAACTTCGAAAATTTTCAAAACTCTTTTCTTATTATATCATAAATGAAACATTGAAGAAGATAAGAGTATCATACAAGTCAATATACCAAATTCAGGATATTCCAAAAGCATACAAATTCTTGAATTGCCAAAATCACTGCACTGACCAAACGTAATACCGGAATACCTGCTCAACAAAACTTTACAGAAATTCGAGACAGTTCGGAAGAATACCTGAGGTAATACATTAGTGCTAACCATAACCAAAAATAATAATAATAATGAAACTTCAACAATTGCAGAGAATTACGAACATGCTGTGATCAAGAAAATAATGCTTTAAATATATGCTTCTACTGATGACACTATAGTATATTTTTGATTATATATACAATTGCACTACACATTGTTGTCGAAGACAAATAGAGAAGACACAAAAATTAAATTAAATAAAACCAGAGCAAATATTTGAAAATAACTAGTTGCCACGACCATGATATTTACCATAAAAGTCATTAATTTTGCGTTCACAACAGAGGTAAATGGAGAAAAATACAGCCTTTAATTTTCACGGAAGATATAATTCAATATAATTTGTTGTTACGACGTAAGTTACAATCATTCTCTTTAAAAAAAACAAAAATTTATTTCTTCGTTTGATGAAAACACAGGTAATTTCGAATAGAGCTGGATTACTATTAGCAGACAAATATCCAGATTTTTAGTTGATGTAATCACGATTTCTTAGTATCGTCAACAACCATGAACAGCTTTTGCATAAATTTCGTGAACTTCTCTGAATACAAAAGAATAAACGTCTTAAAAAAATTGTAGGTATGTAAACAGTTAAATATTTGAACCAATTTCTAGATAAAAACAAAGAAATAAGAATCGGCATAAAATACCTGACAGTAACGACAAAGACTTTGGTTTATTTTTCCATGCCACAAATAAAAGATAAATGGGGACTGCAGTAAGCATTATACCAATACCAATAGCTGAAAATTTGGTACCAACTTTTTCGAACGTTTGTGTTATATCTATTCTACCAACGAGACGAAACAGGAAATAAAATATGCATATCCCCAAATCAAACCTGTATCTCTGGGAGAACCAATCACTGGAATAATTACTAGAGCAGCACATCCAAGGAAGAATATTATGGGGAAGATAAGATTAACCTAAAAAACTCCATAAATAAAAAATGCTACAAAATTAAAAGCAAACTCAGATATAACTTTTAAAAGATGAAAATAAGAGAAAGCATTTGCTAACTTTGATAGGTCTCTCAGCATCTGGCATTTTTTTCCGTAACCAAAATAATGCTGCAATGGCGCATCCAATCGCTAACCAATAAACAATTTGGATGTAATTGATGAGAGAAAAGACATTACCTGATAAGGCAAGAAATGCTATGGATAATATTCCCTAAAAAGCGTATCAAAAATTTGGCATAGTGAATCAAAAACTAGTTTCAAAACACAGATAATCAGGAAGCCAAAACTCTGTTTCGGTAGCAGCATTTAATATTTATTAATAACGTGAATAAATAGAACCCTATTGACAAGAAAATACGGATATGAAAAAAATCTGAAGATGCAAATAAAGAGATGAAACAAACTGTGAAAATGACAGCAGGAATAGGTGTACGGGTTTTTTTGTTGATCATTGTTAAAATTAACGGCATATGCCCTTCTCGTGCTCCAACATAGAACAATCTAAAAACAAGTAGGCTACCAAAGATATGTTTTTGAATATTCTACAGCATTAATCTGGTATAATTTCAAAACCTTGAAGAGGTAAAGATGACTCCGTTTGCTGAACCAATTGTTGAGCATGCGACAAAGATGGGCATGACAAAGGCAAATGGTCCAAACATTTTATTCGCAAATTCCTAGGAAAAACAATTACAGATATTGATGAATCAACGATTAAGATTTGATAAAGATGAAATCAATCAAATATTAAAGCTAAAATATCACGAAAGGCTCACAACTGCAACTGCCGGACTATTTAGCATTTCTTCTGGACTAATCACTGTATAGAGAGCAATATTTGTTAGTGTGAATATCACTGTACAAAGAGTACATGAAATAGCAATCGACAGAGGCAAATTACTGAAATAAAAATAATAATATTAAGAATATGTCAATAAGCTGTTACCTTCAAATCAGACTTTAAACTTTCTGCTAATAACTAAATTAAATCAGAAATAACTGGACCAGCTCATAAAATTAAAAAGTTTTACACTTTACTGCAAAACTCATTACCGTCTGGGATTTTGCAACTCCTCAACAATGAAATTTAAATAATTCCATCCTTGGTACGCAAAAAGACCGGAATAGAATGCAAGTGATAAAGTACTAATGTCTGGAGTGGTATTTTCAAATATATTTTCGAAAGACTCTCTGTACCGAGGCTTCCCTTTAACATTAAATAAATCTGATACAATGTAATATAAATCTACTATTAAAAGTTGCAAAAATATGTAAAATGCCGAGTTAAATGATCGAATAAGTTACACATGAACAAAATGTTGCAAAAAGACCTGATATTAGAAGTACAGCTCCAGTACCAATTATTAGACATAATGCGAAAAGTTTTGCAACAGTGAAGAAATCCTGCACAAATGTTGCCAGCCGCACTGACATACAGTTTATGGCCGTTAAAATAACTAAAGTAAATCTATAAGTTGAAGAATTTTTTAAATATTGTTCAATAATATCTATAATAAAAGATTTCGGCAAATGAATGTGTGAAGGTACATTAAAATTTTCGACCGAAAAGGTTTACTTAGTAAGGAAGCTGCAAGCAAAGCGGGGAGTCCATCAGGTGGATCACAATGCGGATAAAATGGCCGCAACATATATATCGAAAAAGTTAGTGCAACGACCGTACACGTACATGGTCTGCAATTGTAGGTGACGAAAAACATGACAGGAAAAATGGAATCAATTTTATGCAAAAGATCCTTGAGAAATTAAAAAAATATGCTTAAAAATCACCTTACTACAACTGCCTCAACCCAGAGCCGTATAAAAGCTAAAAATGGGCCAAATGCTTCCATTATATAGGCATAATCACCACCTGACTTATGGATCAACGTACCAAGTTCGGCATAACAATATGCACCAATTGCAGCAAAAACGCCGCATGCTATCCAAACAATTAAAGACATTCCAACACTTCCTGCTTCTGAAAATTCCATTGCACAAAAGAAAAACTACGGTTTAACCCAAGAAAATGAATTTAAAAAATTGAAATTTAAAGATGCATTGTATTTAAGACATACTTTCCTGGACACCGGTAGGTGACACAAATATCCCTGATCCAATGATACATCCTACAATGATAGAAACTCCATTGAATAAAGTAAGCGATTTTTCTAAACCAACACTACCATCTTTAACCGAAGTAGTATCTTTTGAGCCCATCTTCGGGGATCCAAAAATATACAGAGCTTCAATAAAATCTAAAATAACGAAAAAATATGAAATTTCAGTATATAGTATTATCAACACTAACCTACAAACAAAAATAAATCAACAAATTTTATAAACAAATAAGTATATAAGTAAGTCAAAACATATATAGTAAATAAATGAATAAATATAGAATCATGTGCAGCAAGTCGAAGATTATTTCTTTTTTTCTGTCTTTTTGATTCTCGCGTTGTACCATATTCCAGCACTTCCCCTGCATTCACCCGGCGCTCTGTTTTGCTGATTCCTGTACACTGGTCGAGTGAGCGCTTTCCAATGTCTTTCGCGGTGCTTTCTTCAACAACCTCACCTGTTTTCTATTTGTTTTCATTTATGATTCCAGTCTCAGTTTTTTTCCGTTCATACTCCATTTCCTGCTTCTTAATACTATCAAATAATTGGTAGCTCAACGGCTTGAAAACTCGACAGAGCCGAGCCATATTATATATATATATATATATAGTCTTGATTCTCGCGTTGGATTGTGTTGCGGTAGTTTTGCTGTACTCGCCTGGCACCTAGTTCTGCTGGTTCTGGTCCATTGGTCCAGTGCTTTTCCATGACTTTCGCGAAGCTTCTTTCAACAACCTCACTTTTTTTTCATTCGTTTTCATTTATGATTCCAGGCTCAGTTGTTTTTCTTGACCCTTGGCTCTTCCTCTATATATATCTACAAACAGCAATAGTGAAAGGGAAAGAGGTCAGGAATCAATTTGTCTTCACAAAGTGAATGTTGATAAATGAAGGAATCTTTCGGCACCCTCTCACTGATGCTGGGGGAAGAGAGGGCCGGGAAAAGCAATGATGATTGGCATACGGAAGAGATAGTCATGTACCTGAATACATCACAGAATAGATGTTAGCATCAAAAAGAAGACTTTTGTTCTTTTACGTTGGGGCATAAATACAAAGACGAAGATACAAAACCGATAGGAGAAAATTATAACAATAATCGTAATCATTCTTCTCACCAGAACTAGAGGCAAGCATACGTGATGCATTTATTCGACAACAAGGGCATTTAAGAAGCAGCATTCATTCAAAAATGAGAGGCTCATTTGCTATAGTTCAGCAGGATGCTAAATTGCGAAGAAAATTGGGAACATTCTTGCTTTGAAATGTATTTCATATAAAAGATGGCCTACGTTTTGACCACATATACCACATATAAAATGCAAAAAATTGACTGCTATGACTCATTTTCGGGCAGAATTTCGAATTTCTATCACTGTGCAATAAGCAATGCAATTCATAGAATATATATAAAATCTTTACAGAACGGACAATTTTATGAATGATACACCAAATGGTGGAATGACAAGCAAGTAGGTGTTTTCAAAAACCTTCATAGAGACATTTAAATTAAAGACATATACACTGGCAGACGCCAATATCGGGCATCACAACAACTTGAAATTTTAAAAACAAAACATCCACAGTGCAATACTTACTTAATTTTTTACTTTCATTAAAGACTTTGATTTTACTATAGTGTTCAACAAACAGTGACAAAAATTTTAATCCATTCGTGACGCTTTGGTGAAAAGGTTAAAGAGTATAGAAAAGTTTGAAAGTGAATCATAAATAAAGCTTTAGTTTCCTTCTATGTCTGTTCACAGAAGGATATGATAAAATACGTCTAATTTACGATGACAGGGAAGTGAAATAGAATTCCCCAAACAGGGAAATGACCTTTCGAGATATAAAACTGTCTGAGGAACATGTTCTGTTATGAGTTAAATAATTATGGTCGCATTACGAACAAACAATATCCCAATGCAGAGCCAGTTCACAATGTACTGAGTACGATTGTTAATAATACTGAGGAAAGATAACCAAAACAAGGCGTGGTGGGAAGAATAATGGACATGGTAGTAGTAAAGACTACTACCGATTATTATCAAGTAAATTTTTCTAACTGGCACTCACTCACTCACTAAACGTTTTGCTATTATGATTTTGGAGCCCTTAATAAGATCGGTGCAGAAAATTATTTAAAATTGCAATTTTTTGGCTGATTTCCCACTTCTCTTTCGCCTTAATTCCAAGCAATGGACATGAATGTCTTAAAAAAACACGCGTACGTCCTTTAATACATTCCTATACTCGTCAAAAGAATCTTTTAATTACGTAAGAAATAATGCTCACTTGATACTTATCATCACTCGCAAGCTGAGTGCACACTCCCCACATGATACCATTAATTATAATCTGCTGTTAGGGAAATTTATATTTATTTGGGACTGATTTGTGAAAATTTGTTCAAAAGAATGGTTAGATGATAAATTTATTCTTCGTCAATTTCTGATTGCTAAGTTTTTATTTGAAAATATCCTCAAACAAGCAAAGTGTCAACAGTTACAGTCGAAACTAATGTTTGTCGACCAATATAAAATGACTGGGGCTAGGTAACAGCCTGTGATCAAAACTCCAAGCATTTCTGACAAAACACTTTCAATTCAACTTTTATATTTAACTCAACAATCTGATAACAAATATTTACCTATTACTACTGGCACTTTTCTACAATCTATTTCCTACTAGTTTTTAAACGCTGAAATTACTATGGATGTAAATGTTTATTGAATTTAAAAATTTCTATCAATTTCTAAAATACTATCGGTATTCTTTACAGTAGTGATAATAACAAAAGAAAAACAAGAATTTTAATTAAAATAAATGGTTTTTTGCACTGAACTTTTTTCCCTACTGTTCATCTGATTTTTTGTTCAGAAAAACAAGAATGTTCCTCTCTCTTCACAGTTGAGGCGCAAAAATCAAAAATTGTTTATTTTGACGATTTTCTCAGTCAAATGATATATGCAGGAAAAAAAGTTAAAAAGTTTCACGACCATTCTAGCTGGTGTGAAATCACGTAAGGTACGCATTCTAATAAGTATTTTTACATAAAACAGTAGGTAGCATAATGAATTCCGGTAAGCGCATCGCATCATTGTAAATTTTTCATCTGGATGGTGATGTATGTTTATCACTTGCAGTTATTTCTAGTTCGGTGAATTCTTCATATTTAGTTAAGCTCACTTTTTCATTCTAATCAGCAGGGTTTTTTTGACAAAGAATAAGTTTCGATAAAAGTATTTGGAATTCAAACACGGAGAGTGGTGTGCAATGCTTCCCAGTTCCGCAAATGGTTGATTATATTACAGAATTGATCACAACAAATATCAGTCAGTCGCTAACGTTGTAATAAGTAATGCAATGACTAAAACTTCGATCATAACTGACTAAATTAGAATGTGAAATACGCGACGAAATTTTAGTGAAAACTGTAGCACTAGTTTATTTAAAATGGAAAAGTTGGATAATGGATAGAAATAAAAGACAGTAAAAAAATCTACTGAATAATTTCCGTCAATATGTTTGAATTTGCTAACAGTTGAAAGCTGTAACAATTCTATTAAAAGTTATTTGATATAAATTTCAGTTATCGATTAGTTAAAAATAGTGCCGGCATGAAAAAACTGATAATCTAGAAAATTCATGCAAAGTTTTTGAACTCACTGACGACCAAATAATCTTGCTTAATACTCATCTGATGAGCGACAAAATGCAGCTAAATTAATATCGCTGATTCAATTTAAATTGACAGCTTCATAAGCCTTTTTGAGAATCAGTGGATTTGTAAATTTGGCATAATGAACATTTCGGAAAATATGACGTCAAAAATGTCTGATACGAGAAACATTTTTAGAAAGTAATATATTAAAGACTTCAACGCTTATTATGAAATAGTGAAATAAATTTCAGTTCTTAAAACACTGGACACTCAGTATATTGAAAGAAAAATCTAATTCTATATTTAAACTGTATAACTAGCTAGCACTCCTATAGATCTGGAAATTGTTATTCTGCCAAACATTGTAATTAATTGTAGCATAAGCAGATTACAGCAGTCAGAGCAGAAATAATTATGATTAAGTGACAAGGACAATACCTCAACAAAATGAGTATTAAATTCTATATATACATAATTATTATATATATAATTTGAAGTAAATGTGGACAAAAGATTATGCCTGTTATTGGACGAAACATAACATTTTCTGTTTCTACTCTTTCTTCTGCTCTACTTCTGTCTTTTACGGCGATGTTATGATGCAACGATAAAAGTTAATGGCGACAATGCTCATGCAACCCCCTGTTGCAGTACTTCTGAAGTAGCAAAGACGAAACAAGAGAATAAAGTGAAGATTAACAAGCATGAATGTAGCGGAAGAAAAGCCCGCTGCAAAACGAGGTGGAAACTGAAAAGAAGGATGTGTGGTCATACAGCCAGCGTATCAGAAATCCTGGAAGGAAATGGAGGATGAAGGGAGAATAACTGCATCTGGAATCATAGTGGAAAACAATGGGAAAGCAGATGAGGTTGTGAAAAGCTCCGTGAAAGATGTAGGAGAGCACTTCGCCAGCTTACGGGAACCAGGAACCAGTAAGATTATAACGCTTGAAGTACTCATTCGAAGAACTGAGATTCGCAGAGCAGTTGACCAGACAAAATGGTGAAGGTGGTTCTTGACCATTTCGGGAGGATGCTGAGAGGGGGATTGCCCTTGTGTCGTTCCCTGTATTGCGAATTGCGAGAAGCTTGGGTGCGCGATTAGTCTTCAAGAACTGAAGAAACAGGCGAATGCTA